GCTGGGGGGGTGGGGGTGGGAGCGAGCAGGGAGAGATCAATGGGGGAAAAAGGAGACATATGTAATACTTTAAACAATAAAGAATTTAAATTAATAAAATAAAATGACATAGTATAGTGCTATGTACTCATGTGAAAAGATATCTACAATGTATTATACAATTAAAATGCAAGTGGAATTATAGTATGAAGTTTTGTAAATAAAATTTTAAACTATAAAAAAAACCAAAAGAAATAGAACAGATTAGAAAACATTATAGTCATGGCCGGTGTGGTTCAGTGGTTAGAGCGACGGCCCAAGCACCGAAGGGTCGCAGTCAAGGGTAAATACCTGGGTTGCAGGTTTGATCCTGGCCTCCAGTCGGGGGGCACATATGGAAAAGCAACCAATCAATGTGTCTCTCTCACATTGATGTTTCTCTCTCTCTCCCCCTCCCAACCTCCCTTCCACTCTCTCTGAAAATCAATGGGAAAAATATCCTCAGAGAGGATTAACAACAAAAAATTACAACACATCATTACAGGTCACAAGGAAAAGTACTGTCTTGTAAGATTTCAGAGATGGTATATAGGTACTAAATCCCAATGTAAAATGAATTTTATTCTGTAGATTCAAGTAAAAAAAAAAAATGGAAACATGTTGACATCAGGATGCTTTCATCCCTAGATGCTGTTCTTCCCTGATAAAGTCACTTGACTGCTGAAGGTCTACTTCCTAGATATAAAATAGAGATGCTCTGAATACAGTTGAAGCAACTAACTGATGACATAGCAAGCGCAAACATGAATATCAAAGAGGGAGCTATTTTGAAATAAGCATCCTGGTTAATTTGTAAAGACAGGTCCTAGTAGAAATCTGTCCATTATCTGCATTTAGTTAAACACAACTTTCCTAGAGGCACGCATGGATAACAAACAGAGCATGTTTGGAGGCCTCTTGTAGGGCATGATTCCAAAAGCACTATACTCTTACAAAAAAGTTCTACTAGTTTATCCTTGAATTTTATCATGAAATTTAACATTTCATAATTTTATTTATATAATTTATTAGATGTCTCTTTTATGGTTAAATCATACAGGGCAAACCAATAAGTTAAAAGGCATTTGCCAGTTTATAAACACATTTTCCCATAGATATCGGATGATGTAAATCAGGGGTCCTCAAACTTTTTAAACAGGGGGCCAGTTCACTGTCCCTCAGACCGTTGAAGGGCCAGACTATAGTTTAAAAAAAAACTATGAACAAATTTCTATGCACACTGCACATATCTTATTTTGAAGTAAAAAAACAAAACAGGAACAAATACAATATTTGTATTTGCATTGTGGCCTGCGGGCTGTAGTTTGAGGACCCCTGAAAATGGAAGTTTGATACCTCACAGCCCATAGGAGAATACTTAACCACAATAAATCTTCAAATAAAAACTGAGCTTTCTAGGCTGTACTAACCTCTATAGGACAATCCTTCCCACTCTGGCCCTGAGAAGATTTCTCTTCCCCAAACATCTCTCTCTCCTGCTTTGGTGGGTACAGAGGTGGGGTTAGGGATCAGAGGCTTCTCTCCGATACTGTGTGAGAGCTGATGGGAGTCACCCAATGGCTAGAACTTTTTTGGTAAATCGGAAAGAAGTCCACAGTCTGAGCTTGGGTGGGGACTGGGGGACAGGGGTCAGACAGGGTGGGAGGGAGAATGCAGTTGGTAACCACAATAAAAGAAGGAGTAGAAGCAGAAAAATGAGTCTGGACAGTCAGAGAGATAAGATCCAAGATCTGGTAATCACTTATACACAGGGACTATACATAGAAAAAAAAACACCAGGGAAAGAAATCTAGGTAAAAATAAATTAGCAAAACTTAAGGCAACATGATGGTTTGGGTGCCCTCTAGAGGGCTGAAAATGGATATCAACTAAGGGTCCGTGATGGAATAAGGCCTTAGATTAGAGACCATGCTTCTAGATGGTTTATGAAATCATGTAGTAAAGACATGCCTAACTATACTCTTACTCTTCTTTAGTTAATGACCCACTGAGGCCACTTTGCTTTAAAATACCCAAATAGTGCTGGGCATGTAAATAAAGACTTGTTGAGCCAGAATGAAAGACAACACTGGAGCTCTACAACACTCTCACCAAGAAAAGAAAAGTCCACACCACACTCACTTTTCTCATGTTTTCCAAAGGCCCACCCTGAGTGATCAGAATTGGGGGGATCCATTTGGTAAATGTTATGGGGTAGGAAGAAGTGAAGCCACAGCCACGGCACACCAGAGCAAAGACCTTGTGAATGGCTTCTAGGATCACGCACTGGTCACATGTTCTGAATGTTGCCCAGTCAGGACATCCTGGGCAAACAGTCTTTAGTCTCAGTCAGACTCTTTCCTGGAAGGATCTCTCATAAATAAATCTTGTACGAAGGGAATGTAAATGGCTTTTTATAGGAGTTCTTGTTTACTCTGGCTGACCTTTGAGCCACAGGGCTTTCCAGTTGAAACTACAATTTTTTTCTTTTGATGTCTTTTCATGAATAATAATGAAAATATTTGGCAAGGCATGCTTTTTTGTTTTCAAAAACACCTGTCTATTTCTCTGTATTGGTCTACTGTAGCCACTCAAAATTTGTAAGTTGAGAACTACCCTCCACCCCAATTTGGAGGAATCTGCCTGATAAGTTTCTGGTCAGCACAGGCAGTTTGTTCCTATACGTGACACGGGATTATTTCTTAGTCATATCCCAACTGTAATCTAGCTCATAATGTAGGCAGGGAAAGAGATTTTAGTCTGTTTTTTCAGTTTGTCTAATATTAGATGCAGAGTATTAAAGTGATGGTTATTCAAATGTTGACTAAAAAAAAGCTCACTGCTAAAAAACAAACAAACAAACAAAAGAAAAAAACACACCTCACTATTCTCTAAGTAATTCTTAGCTGCAGTGTTTGGAAGCTCAAGTAAGGTTTTCCAGAAAAGCTGTGCAAAATAAGATATTTACTAAGTAAAGAATAGTATAATTTAATAGTGAAAATACCCTTCTTTTAGAGCTAAGCTTTTCAAAACTATTGTGTGCTAGTGGGATTGCCCAAATAATTGCTTCACAGGTTAAATAAAAGATTTTAGGACCATTAATTAGATATATCTACTTATTTTTTTTCCACTAAAAAGGTCACTAAAATATATTGATCTCTAAATTCATAGTCCAGTTTTCTGGGAATGGGGTCAGCTAGAAGAACAGCTGTAGCTCTACAACCCAGAAATCCAAATCATGACAAGCCAACATACTACAGCTCTGGTTGGAATCTAAACCAGTAGAAATTTCTATAAAGCAATCTGACAAAATGCACAGTTTTAAATGTTCACATCCCTTCATTCACTGACTTACCTTGTTTGAATCTACATTAATAACCTAAAATGGTGACAAAGCTTTAAAAACAAAGATATTCACTCACCATTAAAAAAAAGAATAGTTTATTGATTTTTAGAGAGAGAGGAAGGGAGAGGGAGAGAGAAAAACATCGGCTGCCTCCTGCAAGCCTCCCATCAGGAATCAAGCCCACAACCGGGGCATGTGCCCTTGACCAGGACTCAAACCAGCAACCTCCTGGTGCACAGGACCCACACCAGCCTGGGCTCACTCACCAATTTTAACAATTATAGTATACCCAGTATAATGGAACACTGACCATTAAAAATAATGATTACAAAGACTTTTTTAATGATATGGGAAAATGTTTATGATATAATGATAAGTGGAAGAAATCTGGACACACAATCATATCTATAACACTAGAGGCCCAGTGCACGAATTCATGCACGGGTGGGGTCTCTCGGCCTGGCTGGCAATTGGGGCAATCGGGGTGATCGGGGCCAGCCAGCCTGGAGGAGGGACCTCGGGAGTTGGCTGTGAGAGCGCACTGATCACCGGGTGGGGAGAGGGGGGCAGCTTCTGCATCATAGCGACCGGTAGAATGGTTATAATGGTCACTTAGGCTTTTATATATATAGATAGTATCAACCTGTAAGTATAACCACAAACATACATTAAAGACTAGAGGGAGCCCGAGCTGGTTTGGCTCAGTGGATAGAGTGTCAGTCTGATGACTGAAGGGTCCAGGTTCAATTCTGGTCAAGGGCACATACCCGGGTTGCAGGCTCGATCCCCAGTGGGGGGGCGTGCAGGAGGCAGCCGATCAATGATTCTCTCTCATCATTGATATTTCTATCTCTCTCTCCCTCTGCCTTCCTCTATGAAATAATAAAAATATATTTTAAAAAATAATAAATAAAAGACTAGAGGGATGTTCCAAAATGTTAATAGTAATGGGATTGTGGGTGCTTTTTATTTTCTTCATTAACTATTTCTCAAATTTTCCTCAATAGGCATCTATATATATAAAAGGCTAAGTGTCTATCCATCTGACCGGTAGCTATGATGTGCACTGACCACCAGGGGGCAGATGCTCAATGCAGGAGCTGCCATGACGCACAGTGGCCATTTAAAAAGAAACGGCACCACGAACCTGGTGCTGACAAACCAACATTCAGCTTCCCCCAAGTGGGACACAGGCCCAGCCACCACCCCACAGTGACACCCCACCAAATTGCAGCCAACACTGCCAAGACCTCGTGGAGCAAAATTTGGCCCACAGCCCAGCCCAGAAATGGTCGCTGTGGGCGCCAGGTAATGACTTCACGTAGCAACACCTGGCTTCCCCTTCCTGGCGATTAGCCTCCTTGGAGTTTCTTCAGCCAGGAGCCCGACTTGCTTTATAGCTAGGTGCAAACATTTTACAGTTTAACCAAATGTTTGTGAAGCGTTTTCAAGTGCCTCCTCTCATTTGATCCTCACAGAGGTCCTGGAGTAGGTACATAGGAGACTCGGTAGAATCCTATTTTCTCTTCATTAGCAAGACAATGGAGATTTAGAAAGTTTAGAAACTTGACCTGACTGAAAAGAAGTAAGAAATGGTGGACCTTGAAAATGACTTCAGGTTTTCTCACTGCACAGAATATAGTCAAACACTGCTACAGTTAAATATTTTA